GCCACTATAAAAGCATATTTTAAAAAGTAGATGGTTTAATGAGGCAACATAATTGATTGGTGGGGCATTGCTCCATCACATGAGCCCCTGATGCAAGTAGAAATAGCAAGTTTGATCAGGATAAAACTGAAATATATTTTTATATGACATGTTTAGTACATTTTGATGACTCATGGAATAAAATAGGTCCAAAAATGATCTGTTTTAAGTTTGGGATATGGGATATATAGCCTCTGAGAGCCTGTTTAGACCTTGTGTTAACATGTGTTTCATATCCAGATCATACCTGAATACATTTTGGGCAGATTTCATTTATACTCACAAGTTTCTCTCAAATGCATCCCCATTATGACCAGATGAGATTTTTACTTTGCCTGTGCAAAAAGCGCATCAACATATATGTTGTTTCAGTTTTGCTTTTGTTTACCTTTTTCCCCCCTTTGCAATATGAGTTGACAAGCTTGGACACTTTTGTCAGCACCGAGTGCAAGAAGGCACTTGGTTTGGGTAATGACTCACATATCCTCTACCATCTGTTTGTTTTGTTTCCACTCAGCTGCTAGTCAACATTTGGTAGACACATTTTCACTCATGTAATTGTAAACAGATTTGAAAAATGCAAGGGTAAATGTGGTCAATATCAATCTCTGACCACTTCCGAATGAAGTTTGAGTGATCTGACCATAGTCCGATCACAATGCATCCTTTTCTTTTCATTCGGTTGAGTGAAATCAGTGTAAACTCTGTAAACAGACTCTTATTGTTTACTTTAGTTGTAAAACTATGTAAAACTAATCCTGTGATGTGGAGGCTGCAGTTCAGGGTGAGTAAAATAATAAAGCCGTGAATTCTGTGACATATTCATACTTCTCAGTAATTATCTTCAAGCTGAATTTGGAGAAACATCTGTCAGAAAACTCAAGTGAATCATGTGACTATGGTAACAAGAAAGTGACCAGAGGCACATTGTCCTTTAACCTGTTTAACCTGTGCCCAGTGCTCTGCTGCTGCCTTTTTCCTGTAACTGCAAAGAATCTGTTTATTTCAAGACCTCTAAATATAACATAGACAGTAATTATGCTTTTATTAGACTAAATTCTCACTAAAACTGTTTTAACTTGATAAGGTGATTAAGGTATCGCCTTACACTATATACTCATATGTTTCATTATGAGGGTGAAGCTTCATTCCCCAATATACTGCAGTACTTTCACACTCATCAGCCCTGTCAATGGAGGTCACCTCTGAACGGTGACCATATGGCAGAAAATATACAGCAGACATCTGCACTCAGCTTATGCTAACACACATGCTCAGCATTCTGCAAGCATTGATTGGTCAGGCATGGAGCATGTGACAGCACAGGAAGAAATGTGGGCGCCGCCTCGGGTCGATAAAAAAATGTATGTGCTGGGAGCCGAGGAGGCTTTCAGTAATGAAATCAATAGCTGCGCTTGGCTCCGGGCATTAAGATCATCGGGCGGGCTGTTATTTAGTCATCGTTGTCCTAACAGCCCCAGCACAAGTTGGCTACCAGTTAAAAATCAATAGAGTGACACCACAGCCAGCATCCCAATTACTGGCGAGTCTGGTGAGAGATCAATTGAAGTGTTTGCCATTAACAGGTCCTGGAGGGAAATCATGCCGCATTATTTGTGTTGGAGGGTCCCTCTCGCTCCCTATGCCAATCAAACACATATCTGATGGGGCGCAACATACAGATACATAGCGTTGCTGAGTGTAAAGTAGGGCTGGACCTTTATAAACACTGATACAGATGAGATAAGGAGCTAAAAATTCAGATAAACAACTTAAAATATGGTCAGATATTAAATAGACTTTAAGTTAAACAGTGCTTTACTGATCATCAACTGTAAATTGTCAATTATGATAGTCAGTTCTTAACTGTCGTATTTATTAAACTCAAATAAACAGCAGAAATAGCAGTTTTAAATAATATAAATAGTGTAGCATGGCGGGGGGGTAGCAGTTTTGTTAATGATCTCATATTTTTCATCATTTCCCTTTACATGTTTTTTTGTGATAGATTATCCTTATGCAAAAGGATAAAAAAGGTTAAGATTAATGACGGCCATTCACACAAACACTGACTACAGACTACTACCTACTCCACAAGCGGCTTGTAAATACAGACTCTGTTGACTAAACTAGCTGCCCACAGTTTTGTTCATTTTTATAGTTCACAGTAAGTCATACTGACCCACATTGACTAGTCTGCGCAAACTTAATGAAGACCTGGATGTGGTTTGAGCAGGTCAAGAGACATTTTGGAGATGTATTTTTACAGAAATTCTTTGGGTTATTTGGGTGACTATTGAGTTCTAGTGTTTGTTAGCAGTGTTAGCTTTACCACTTCAATTCTAAAGTAAAGAAGTAAAATTTGTATAGGCTGATTGACTTCAACTGGGGTAAGTGTGTAAATTTGAGCGTCCAAAATTAGACTATCATGCCGAATCTACTCAAACACTACCCCACAGGAAGAAATCCACAGCTAACATCACATCCCACAGTGTGGGCGAGTGCTGTTTCAGAGCAGATTTGTTACAAAATAGAATCACATTCCTTCTTTTCTCGCTACAACATCTGATCCAGAATTTTCTGCTGATATCAGCCAATGTTACCATACCAATACCCACTGACAGTGACAATAATTTTTACCTTTACAGGATAAAGAAATAAAGAAAACTACCATTTTCATTTCATTCAGTCTTTCTTTAGTTAAAGCACATGCAGGCACGATGGAACAAGCGTAAAAGTAAATCCTCAAATCCTTTTCTCTCAGAACGCACAGAGGATTCACCCCAACTTAAGGCAAAAGCCTCACAATCTAGTATGCTCATAAGAATATGACTCACCAAGGCCCACAAGACCCACTATTAGCTTTCATCTCTCCAGCAGCGCCATTGATCAAAATGAACACTGCTCCTATGAGTCTCCTGGTATTAGCGACGTGATGGTGAGCACATCGACACGTCACATCAGTTCCCCCACTCTCACTCAGGCCCCTCAGGCTAAATAGAGACACCTCCAAACCTCCTGTCCCGATTTTGATTGACACCTCTCAAATCTTCTTCTGACAACCTACCCCCCCCCTTCCCTACAGTGCCTCACACTTTTCTCTAGCATGCTAAATACCTAACACAGATAGGAAAGGAAGAGTCACATTAGAGGCAGGGTATCTAATCAGCCCAGTACTCTTTATCAAATATTACTCGCTGCTGTAGCGTCTCTCTCTGGCAGCTCATGCATATGGAAAGAAGAAAATATGTTCTAGCTGAGATAAGAACATTGCCCACACCTGGAACGCATTCCAAAAAGCAGCACAATGGCGACATGACACGCAACGTTAGGAATGACGGTTGTGTGATTGTGAAGAGGGACGAGGCAGCTTGTTTGTCACTCAGCTGGAGACGAGACTAACTCCTCACTCTGCAATGCCCAGTGGAACAAGACAGCACAAAAAAGACGGGCACGTTCGGTGACATGTCAGTTTGTGTAAATGTGGTCTAATCTACAGCAGTGGTTACCACAGATTTATATTAATATCTGCTTTTAAAGCTTTTGTAATACTTTTACCTGTTTTACTCTTATGTAATCTTTTTTTACACATTTCCTATTGCTATCTTGTGTTGCATATTTCCATATTGTTTTGTGTTTTGTGATATTAATTGACCTAATAAAGACAATCTTTTTTTGATATCTTTACCAGTTTAGCAGTTAATGAATCATTTTCACACATTTCTTGTTTTTGTCTTGTGTTGCTGCATCATATTACTGTATTCTGCTGTTTTTTGTATTGTTATGTCATCTTACTATGTTTCAGTTGTTGTCTTCAGTTGCTAACGGGCCTAATTAAGATCCTTTTTTAGTTATACTTGAACCTGGTTCACTCCTTGTTGATTATTTTCACATATTTCTTGTTTTTGTCCTGTATTTATGTCATATTTCCTTATTTCACTTGATTTGTCCTGTGTGTTTATGTCATATTTTCTTATTTGTTTTGTCTTGTTTTGCTGTCATATTTTCTTATTTTGTTTGTTTTGTGCCCTGTGATGGACTGCTATGACCGCTGCTATGACCCAATGACCGCTGGGATAGGCTCCAGTACCCCCCATGATCCAGAAGGATAAGCAGTTTAGAAAATGTGTGTGTGTGTTTGTTTGTCTTGTGCTGCCATGTCATATTCCTTAATTTCCTTGTTTTTGCCTTCTTTTTGGTTTGTCTTTATTGCTGTTGTTTGCATATTCTTTTTAAAAAACCTTGTTTGCCCACAAGTGTTTTCTGGCACTTGTCAGGCCACCATTGTAAACAAGAATTGATACCTAATGGTTTAACCATTTATGCTGTTGGCCCAATGCTCCAATGCAACATTTAGAGTGTGTCTTGCACCAAACACAGAGGAAAGTTCATTCTAAACATAAAATATTCAAGCCACTCTGATTATAAGTCTGTCACTTTTTATAACTGACAAAGCAAAGTTGAGGGAAAAAAACATAGGAATACGTGAAACTGTACTGATCACCATAGGAGGGGCTGGAATTAATCCGTATGACATCACTGACAGTGACTCAGCTAATACTGAGTCAACTTTGCTTTAAAAACCGGTTGAGAAAAATCAAGTGCTCAGGCTCAGTTCTCATTGTACAATTGCAATTTTTCTGTTGATTAAGACCACTAATTTATCTTGCACACAATTTATGATCCAGAATGACAAAATGTGTTATCATTTTTTAAATAAAAGAGTATATGCTCTTAGTTTCCTAGTCTATAAATCATTAATGAAGCCCATGAGTATATTTAGTGCTCATATTCTTCAATCAGTTTCTATTGTTAATTTATCATAAGCAAGCAAGCCATTATTTTTAGTTAAATTAAATAAATTACACAAAGAGGCAGGGGCATGCTGAGTCTACTGCGCCGTTCTGTGGATTTGACTTATCGCATTAAGGAATCAAAGTTCAGACACTGCAGCATTTGTTGAAATGTTATTAGGCAAAGGCAAAGCAGGCTGCTTGGCTACAGTTCAAGTAGGCCGTCCCGAGTGTCAGCGTCAGCCTACACCCACAGATCAGCCACTAAACTCTTACAGTAAAACTCAGCAAGACGTACTGTGGGCTGATACGTTCCAAAGGTAAGTCTTGCAACTTTTTCTGCATAAAGTATCTTACAGGCACATTTTTAAATAACTATTTCAGGCCAGAAAATGTTTTACTGTACTACAACTTGCTCTACAACTCTGTGTCTGTATATTTCAGTACATAATCACATGGGTGAGATCATACTGTATCACAAGATAAGGGCAACTGTAAGCATATTTCCCCCCAAACAGGCAACCAAAATGGAGAGAAACAATGGAGTTTTCACGTCACAGCCAGTTAACACAGGCTTGTTAAATAATTTAAATGCAGATAACAGCAAATGTCATGTTTGTTTCTAAGATTATGTGCAATAGTGGCCTAAGCAGTATCAACATTCTCAGCAAATGAACAAACAGCCTTGGTTAAGCAGTAAGCTTTGTTTAAAAAACATATATATATGTTGCTGTCCATGATAGATTTTCCTGACACTTAAATGATATGAGTCTTGTGTCTGATGGTATTTTAGTAGACAAAAATCCAGCTGGAGGGCAGAGGGTTGTTGGTTTCTGTTAACTAGCTCATATTTTTCTAATTAATTTTGGGTTATATTCATTCTATTTGCTATATTTTGGTTTGGATGCATTTTACTGGTGTTTGTGACAAAATAACCACAATGGTATTTTGGGTTGCATTTTACTAGTTGTGTGAACAGCTTCTATGACTACTATAAAGGTAAATAATGTAAAGTGTGGCCTTTGATCAGCTTTTGATTAGACTGGCACAACTACCCAAACCAGTGGAATCCCCTGAAATGGATGATTCTGGCTGTTGTGTAGCCAATTATCTGTTACTTATGAAACAATCTAATAAGTGTGATTAAGTGTTTTTTGATGCCATTATTCTCACCGTGCTGATTGTTTGTAGCGTAAAAGTTACAGCTTAATTGTTTTCGTTGTACGTCTGTTCACATATCTTGTATTTGTAACTGGCATCTTTTGAGTTAGAGGTACTCACTTCATTTAAGCTAATCAGTTGCCACAAAGTATTTGAGTAGTGTCTGAGTAGTTTACAAGTTTAATTTAATTGAGGGATGGAAATAAACATTTTGAATTCCATCAAGTGAAAATGTTTAAGTATAATTTGAGTATTATATTATATTAAAATATATGTGTACAAGTTGGCCTAAAGTTCTACAAACATTTGACTTTATGATTTTATGACGACTATATGAGGGAAACTGATTGCCTTAATTATTATGAGTTCTTCTAACTTATCTGGGTTTAAAATGTGTGTGATTTACAGATGTTTGGATGAGTTTAGTGCTGCTCAGTATGCACTATACTTTCTGAGATTTCTCTGATGGCTGGACTACTTGTGAAGTTCAATTTTTAGCCAATAGGGCTGCAACAGGGTTTATACTGCCTAATAGGATTTGAGCTAAGGATATTTCTATTGGACAGTCTAGAATTTGGATAAATTATTCAAGTGACTGAGAAATCCTGCTTCCATAAAGTAGAATTTCATAGTTCAAATTAGATGTAATTTGACTGTAGATGACAGTGTTACTGCTGAATGTTTGCTTTGGATAATTCTTGAATAATGTCCATCTTGACAGAAATATTTAACCAGGTTTGGCAATGGCTCACACAATTGACACAGAAGTGTTCCAGGCCTTCTCCACGTATGCCACCATCGTCATCCTCAAGATGATGCTGATGGCTCCTCTTACCGCATACTTCAGGATCACTAGAAAGGTAGGATTCAAATTTTGTGCATCTCTAATATAATATAATATAATATAATATAATATAATCCAGTTTAATACAGTCATTTGAGCATTTCTACAATATTTAACAGACCTAAAAAACTCATGCCACTTTAATTAATTTAAAATAAGCATTAAAAGTTACTGAAAAACGTTTTTTACTTTTAATGGGCCACACTCACTGGCGTCTCTTCCAGTCAGCCTCCATTAATACAAATGAATAGTACAAAACTTTCTTTGGCAGCACCACAAAAAATGATTCTATAAACATTTTTCATGATGGAAAAATGCTTATAGGAATAATCACATTACTTCATTTCACCCTGCAGCCACTCTGAAAAGTTGGCCTGTTGTGTCACCAAATAAATATAATGACCATTACATCAAGTTTAAGGCTCTGTCTAGTACAGTATATCCTTTATAATGAGCAGACTACATACTGAGCTTTACACATTCATCAACCTTTAGGGTCACACCACTGCACAGCTTAGTTTTTCCCTGCCATATTTAACCTTATTCAGCTCATCAAGGCCTTCATGAGCTGCACTGGGTGTGTTTTACTATGTGCAGTGCTACAGTTCTCCACAACTGCGGTTTAACGACTCTAAAACTATGCATGGTATGTGGGACCTGAACATATTTGCAAAGGCAAGCTATCTTTATGTTGCACAACAAGCTCTCTGTGTCCTATATAGGCTTTTGCAAACTTTGAGGACACTATGGGCAAGACTACAGAGGAGAAGAAAAAGACGGTGCGGGTCAATGAAGATGTGGAACGTGTCCGCAGGTGTCGCATTACTCAACTCCTTGAACACTAGTTTTATCATTTGTTATTTAGTACTATAAGTGATGAGGTGACTACTATGAAATTAAGTTGTGTAGTTATGACAGTGAGGAACTGATGTGTGAGCCACATACAGACAGTCTATACACAAGGGGTCAAAAAACAACCAAATCTGTGAACAGCTTATGAAAATGACCTTTGCTCCTTGTCTTCAGATGCCATCAGAATGACCTGGAGAACATCATTCCCTTTGTGGTGATTGGCCTGCTCTACGCTCTGACAGGGCCTGACCTCTCCATTGCCCTGCTGCACTTCCGCTTGTTTGTGGGTTCGCGTTTCGTCCACACGGTGGCTTACGTGATGGTGCTGCCCCAACCAAGCAGGGCTCTGTCCTGGATGGTGGGCATGGTCATCACCTTCTCCATGGCCTACCGTGTCCTCACCACTGTTCTGCTGCTTTAGAAGGAGACACAATGGGAAACATCAACAGAGCTACTTCATGTATTACCATCCTGATACTGCTAATGCTGCATAATATGCTATAAGCAGACATGAATGTGTAAGATCCTGCTGTTCTTCAATGTGAACACACTCATTTTTGTAACTACATAAAGATATTTAATATAAAATTACTAAAAATCCACAAATATATATGGTAGTGGGTGGCTTTATGATATGGGCATTTGTTTATGTGTATTGCAAAGCAACTTATCTCTGATTACAGCAGTGTTTATTGGCAGCCTGTCACTATGACTCAGCATAAAAGCAAGTACACATGACTGATCAGGACTGTCTATTAGGATTGTGCAGTATTGTATAATATCCAGTACTGTGGTAGCCAGTTTCTATGGAAAAATAAACACTACACTTTTCAAGTGTACTACACCAGCAGAGATGTGTAGTAACTAGTTACATGTAATCAGGTACATTTTTGAATGATTTTTGCCTTCCTGAGTCTTTTCTAATGATAATAATTTTTGCTTCTACTCAAGTACTCGTGAGGAACATAATTACCTTTTACTCACATCTCAGCCATTAGCATTTAATTACTAATTCTATTTGGTGTTTAATTTTATTATGTTGAATTGGTGACAGCATCCTCACTGTACTCTTGAGTGCTACCGTTTTTATTCTGGTCAGGGAGTGCATCACAAAGAGAAGAATCGAGCCTAACAAACATCAGTTCCTATGCTGACTGAAGCTGGATATACTGCTGCAGTGCTATAAGTTATTCAGTACTTAGGCAGCTTTTTGACCTGCTACTTTTATGCTTCTACTCAAGTTGTGAAACACACTTTCACTTTGACTTGAATCATCATTTCACTGAAGTAGAAATACTGTTACCTGAGTCTGAGCTTGGACTACTCTGCCCACCTCTAACACCCAATAAGACAACAATTGTTGGGGACACTGGGCACAGTGAGGTTATTTTTTTTCATTGGTCTTGCATGTCTTCTCTGATGTAATGTCTTTTGTATCTGTCCCTCCCAGACTTTGATAGATGTTTGGAGAGTGTGCCACTGTGCAGAGGCCATGACTTATGTTTAATTAAATATTTGCACATATAGCAACAATAGAGACATTAGTAATCACACTGTTCTGTTGTAAGTTTGAATCAAAGCATACAAAGTTGGTTCTTTAGTAAAGGGAATTGTTCTGTTTAGAACCCTGAGTTTATATAGAAGCATTTCATGCTTAAATGGTTCTTGGTGAAATGTTTCTTCAGACTGATGAAGAACGTGTTGTATATTGTTCTATATAGAAACAAAAAAGTTTTACTATTGTTACAAGCTTGACATCATAACAATAACAGAACCATTTTTCAAACGGTTCTATGTAGAACTATATACATAGAAGTCATGGTTCTAAAAAGAACATTGCCTTTAATAGAGAACCCATGAAGAATCATTGAAGAAACTTCCTGAAAAGTTTACATCATATAATTCTAAGTGATTCGATTTCTTATTGCAGGAAGTAAATATTTCAACAAACACTTCACATCTTTGACTAAGTGGCAAAATGGGCATCTACACTTTTGTACCTTACACTTCTGTGTATAATACTTTGGCAATGAAATAATTAGATTAGATTAGATAAAAAATCAGCAGCGGGCACAACTCGACCCTCATTATTTCTGAACATTGCGTAACATGCAGGAAGTTGGCGATCCACGGACTACTTCTGCGCGTGTGTGTCCCTCCCACCGCTGCTGGACACTTTCCACAACTTTCAAGCGCCGAACGAGCTCACTTTCGATAAAAAGGTAGGAGGACGCATTAATGTCTGGAACCTTCACAGCTCACGCGATTTTATTAATAACCAACCCAGGCGTCGCTCGTTTCTCGTCCTTTCTAAGTTTGAGAAGAAGCTCCGCGCGTTCCTGAGATTCCAGAAAAAGAGCCTCGGGCGCGTAACCGCTCTGCGTCTCTTCATCCTCCTGCAGTAAAACTCGCAAAGCCTGCATTTCCACCCGGAAAAACAACAAAATTACGACGTATTAACAGACAAAAACGAGCTTTACCGTCTGGCTGTACAACAACTGCGGAGTTTTCTTTTTTTTTTGTTGCCATTTTAGGCCGGAGTGCCCAATCCTGGTCCTGGAGATCGACCACCCTGCAGAGTTTAGCTCCAGCCCTGATCAAACACACCTGAACCAGGTAATGAAGGCCTTCAGGGACATCTGAGTATTACAGCCACGGGTGTTTGGATCTGAACTCTCCAGGACTGGGCACCCCTGTGTTAGTATATATGGCTTTCTCTCATGTCCAACTTATATTTGTCATATATGGACATATATGTGAGATATATGCCAACTTATTTGAAATTGAGCATTTTCAAATATGGGACACATATTTCAGCCATTTATCAACACGCACAAATGGGTAACACATATATTAAACCATCTATGATAGAAAACATTCATGTATGAATGGCATATTTTACTCATATATGCTGTCTTCATGTTATATAATGTCGGGTTTTGTTGCCCAAACTTGTACATTAGACTGCACACATGGATATGAATGTGATATTATATGAAATACATTTCATTTTTGTCATACTTCTTTCAAAATTAAGAATATTTATACATGAATCTTCTTTGTTTCTTCCACATATTTCCTAATGAAGTGAAAATTAGTATAATAGCTATATAACTAAACTCTGAAAACATGCACACTGTAAGCAATAAAACTAAATAAAACATAAAATAAATTAAAACATTGTTCTCTGAAACAATTCATTTGATATTTATAAGCACACAGGTAAGAATTATAACTGTACTGGGATGTGTATGCTTTGTATATTATGCATATTCCAATATTTGATACTTACATTTTACATTTATGACATGTATGTATGTATGTATATATATTTTGAAATCTATGCCTGGCGCTTAATGTAAACTATGCATATGTGGCCATATATCAGATGTTGATAAGGGTTTGGAAAGCACTTGGCTCTAAATGACTAGTTTGTAAGTCAGTTTTAACTGTGCATTGCAGTCGCAGTAAAGATGACAGAAGTTGTGCACATGATTGACAGCGAGGTCTTCATGGCCTTCTCCACCTATGCAACCATAGTCATCCTCAAGATGATGCTCATGGGTCCCATTACGTCATACCACCGACTGACGAAGAAGGTGAGTGGTGGTGCAGCTTCAGTGCCTAAATTAACTAAATGAAACTGTGTGTCTCCCAGTCCTGTCAGGCATTAAAGCAATACTCCAGACTTTTTCAGTCTAATCTCTCTCTGTTGCTTCTCTAATGCACAGTCTTCATTATAAGTGAGTTTCGAGTCAATTTGTTTTCAGTTCAGCTCTTTTCTGAGTACAGGGTGGTAATGGATAGTACAATACAGATAGAAATTAGGTTTAAAAATTCCTTCAAATACATTTAGAGTCAGTTTCCTGGAATTAAGCATAGTCTTGGACTACACTTTTAATGAGTCTCAAAGTTTCAAGGAGTCTTAATCCAGAAAGCTGTGTAGGAGGGGTGGGCAATATGACGGTATTTATTGTTACCATGATATCAGTCGAGCATATCATTGATATCGTCAGTACTTCTATGAAGAGTGATCAGCTGCATATAGTATTACAAAGTATTCATCATGTAGCACTGCTGGTTCTTTTTTGTCTATTCTAACATATCAGTCCTCACAAAAACTAAACATCATGATGTGTGAAAATGTCTTGAAGGATCGTGATGGTTTATTTTTTATGATATTGCCCAATCCTACTGTGTAATCCAGGACTAGTCCTAATCCCTGACCAGGAAACCAGCCCCCACTGTTTTCTGTTTAGCTGAGATCATTCAGTGGCTCTGCAATGATGGTAATTTCTGCAGGTGTTTTCCAACATGGAAGACACGGCTCTGGGGGGTCCTGCTGAGGACAGGAAGAAGATGATTAGGGCGGATCCAGATGTTGAGCGAGTGCGAAGGTATGATACTTTTTGAGTTGTCATCTTAAAAGTTTGGAATCACTTTCTTCATTAGAATTAAACAAATTTTGTTGCAGGTACTTGCATAAGATGATTCTAATATAATGCGAACACTGGAATTTCTGTAGAACAAAATGCAGAAATGTTAGATGTGGTAAAAACACACAGAAGTCTCAACAACTAAATATAATATTAAATATTTCAGTATTTAGTGGGTCCAATCGTTGCCTTCCATTCTTTTCAGGAGACTTATTTTCATTTTTTCCACAGCTCTAAAGTTCAGTCTTAGAAGTTGGTTGCATTTTCTGCTTCTTGTCATCCAAGTGATCTCAAACACATTCAGTGACAACACCAATCAATAAAATAACAAATTACTCCACATCTCAGGTGTCCAGTTTTAATGTTCTTGTGCAAATCCTTTCAGACTCCTTTCAGACTCATGAGCTGAGTTGTCTTCTCACAGTGTAAAGATGGACAGAAACAGTAATGCCCAAAGCGGAAAGCAAGAGTGTAGCTTGATTTTTCTCCTCTCTCTCAAAGATGAAAGCTTTAAGTACTGTTTATCTGATAGTGACAGTTTTGGTGGTCTGCCAGGTCTTGCATGGTTGTTATGTGTCCCACTTTCTCTGTATCTTTTAGTATTTTTTTGAACTCCTCCAGATTTGGAAATTTTCTCTTATTTCCCTTTGACTTTCCTTTTCTAAGTGCATTATCTTATATCTAAACTCCTCAGAAATATCTTCTGAAAAAATGTATTTACTTGCTGTTTTGGCTGGAAATTAAATTAATGAAGGGTGGTCTCTAGATTTTTCACAATATTGTAGATAATTACAGTATATTACTCATCGGTTTGTGACTTCTTGGTCTTCCCAAAACACCTGAAAGAATAAAATATCCTCTGGTGTTTAGCTTAAAGCTTTTAAGTCTATACTGTATAAATTATTATTGAATAAAATAGCAATGAGTTTTGTTAAGTGCTTATGTGATTCCAAACTATTGAACGGTAGTGTAAGTAAGTGTGATCCCTCTCCTGTGATAATAAAAAGATGTGATATTGTATTATTTTTATTATCTGTAAGGATTAATGAACAGATATTTGGTTAACTGTGGGGAAGGAACAAAAGACTTTGACTAATATATTAGCACACCTGTTCATGTTTGGCAAAAGTAATATCGAGAAATAATGAATACTGAACGTACAGCAAAACACACAACCACATAACATGACTTTTCTTTTTCAATGGCATGTTTTCTCTCTGACGCCCTGACTGTAATGTAACAAATACCTGAATAGTGTTTAATATTCAAACACTTGTAACAGTTAACCAAGATTTGATTACCTGTGCTCAGCCCCCTAATATACTGGCTTTTATGATGGTCATTTGGTGACCAATCAACATCACTCTTGTGAGCATGACTGAATTACATTTTTTAAATCTAGATCCTCAAATGAAATTTCTTTTCCGACCACAGATGCCATCAGAACGACCTGGAGAACATCATTCCCTTTGTGGTGATTGGCCTGCTCTACGCTCTGACAGGGCCTGACCTCTCCATTGCCCTGCTGCACTTCCGCTTGTTCGTGGGTTCACGATGCTTCCACACGGTGGCCTACCTGCTGCCGCTGCCCCAACCCAGCAGGGCTCTGGCCTGGATGGTGGGCATGGTCACCACTTTCTCCATGGCCTACCGTGTCCTCACCACTGCTCTCTTTCTGTAAACAGATAGCAAAGCTGTTTGCCAGAGGTTGCTCAATTGAATGTGAAATACTTTTTTTGCAATTGTGGCTTGTTGATCTGTCTTTAGTAATACAGAAATCAGTAAAACATTCTTCTGTGAGTTCAGACCATGCCCTCAACATGCAACACAGCAAGGTGAGGATGTGAATTTATAGGGTGTTAGATTGAAAGAAGGAGGGGTTTCAGGCATGTTCCTCCCCCAAAACTTCAGTTATAACATAACTACATTTTGTTTAGCAGTCGCCTGCAATGCAATGTGAAATGTCAGTCTTTTTGTCTGTGTAAACTGCTTTAAAAGTATTACTAAACAACTACGTTTCTAAGGTTGTGAGTTTTAGAATTTTAAAAGTTGGTTCATTTTGATTTCTTAAAAAAGGTAAATCTGTAAAAGTCAATGTATTGTGCTTGTGAATGTTTACCACATTGCTTAAAAAAGTTTCAGTTATGGATAAAACTGAATTTGCAAAGAAAGATTTTTTGTCCTTTTTTCCATCTAAGAGTTTGAGCTTGACATCGAATTAAATTTGGCATACAGTGGGGCCCAAAAGTCTGAGACCACTAGTGAAAATGCTTCTATTTTGCATTCTTTTCTGATTTAATGTGAAATTCTTTATTGTAAATTATATTACAAGCATCACTATTTACAGGAGTGCAAATTTGGTCTGTCAAGTGGAGAGGATCAACATCAATAGGCTAAAGCCCATATACGGCAAATAATATTGACAATAATAATATACATATTATAGAGATTCAGTTTTTTGAACTATTACAATGACAATTTTTCCCACTGTGTCACTTAAATTCTTAGTCTGATCTGCATGTTGCTATAAATGTTTTAGCAAAATACCCCATCATGATAAATATGATAATTAAGAAAAAAAGGACAGACTGTTATGGCATAAATCAACAAATGATCACATTACAGTAAAGACATGATTTAACAATTTCAGAGCAGGTTAGTGCTTCTTCCTTTTTGTTATTACTGGCTATAGCAAATGAAACAACAATCAATTTTTGGTTTAATTAGGGCTCGATTTGGCACAAGTTGTGTCTGATTGAGTGAGATCAAATTCATGTCCGAAGACGATGGAAGGGATGAGACTAAAAATAAACTTTACATACAAAGGCCTTAACATGATATCACAAATTTATCTAACTTTGAATAGTGACCTAGAAATGGTGCAGAATCTTGAATCTTCATTAAACGTATCTTAACTTTTCTTTGTTTATTTATTTATTTATTTATTTTTTCAAATTTCAAAATTCTGTTATTTCCAATTTTAATTAAAAAATTCCAATCCCAGTGTGATCTCAGACTTTTGGACTGGATATGAAAAGGCTCGTGAAAGATCTCGCTCTTAATAGAAGTGATGTGTTTTTTGTCCACTAGAGGGAGGTGTCTGAAAACCCAAACTACATCCACTGCTCCGCACAGAGCACAGTGACATGTGCCAGTCCAAAGACTTACCTTGTAAAGCTTATTCCCCAAGTGATACTGCTACAAGGAAGATACATGTCAGTGAATATTTCATATATTAATGAATAGACTACCCTGAACTACATAATGCTTATGTGCTGAAGTACAACTGTGCCAGAAAAAGTTGACACAACAAACACTCGTACCTGCTATTATGCATTAAATAAGCACAAAACCTTTAAAACAACAGAATTTCTCTCAGACATGCTCCTGTTCACACAGCAGATGATAGCACCTTATCATATCCAGCATCAAGGTGAGGCATGACATTTCATTGCTCCCTCTTTTTTTTTACATGGCCTTCTCTGTGTAACAGATTAAACTCTGCCACTTAGCTCCAAGGCCAAGGAGCCCGGCCATGCATACAGTCCATAGGCTGGTATTCATTTGTTTTGGGTCTGTGCCCAGCTCCAGGCCGTGCAATATTTCAGTCAAGTGGTGCGTTTTACAGCCAGGGCAGATGAGGTACGCCTAAACCTCGCTCTGTGATCAATAGCGACTGATCCTCCTACTCCGTCCACAGCACTGGCGCAGCTCTGCATGGGCTGGGCTGAACTGAACTTAGCTTTTTTAACTGAAGAGTCTTAAAAACTTTTTCGAGCTCATCTAGGGGCCTGTTAAGGGTTACCATGTCAGCCCTGTAAAATTCCTGGACACCTGATCAGTGGCTTGATTTTGGGTAGCTATATTCACGATGCAATCTAAGGTAAATAAATAAATGTAAATGCAAACTAATTCTTAAGTATTGCCTTGCAGTGTTGCTTAGTGCCTAATAGGAATGCCACCTATAAGACAATATTGTGCAAAATGTCCAGGAATCCAAGCATTTTCATACCCCTGCTAGAAAAAACAGCCTAGACTAGCATAGCTGGTCACCAGCTAGCCTGTTGTGTTTTGAATGCTGGTATGCTGGCCAGCAGCATTGAAAGCTGCTGATCACTACCAAAACCAGCATACTGTTGCTTTTGGGAGAAAACTTCCATTTTTGTTGGTGTTCATTTTTTACATAACTTGAAAATGCCAGCATTCCTTTACATTATGTTAACATTTCATGATGAACAGACCAACAAAAATGGTCCAACATTACTCCTGCCACATTAACTCAAGGGTGCCCAATCCTGGTCTTGGAGATCTACCACCCTGCACAGTTTAGCTCCAGCCCTAATCAAACACACCTGAACCAGGTAATGAAGGCCTTCAGGGGCATCTGAATATTACAGCCAGTTGTGTTGGATCTGAACTCTCCAGGGTGGGAGATCTCTGGGACCAGGACTGGGCACCCCTGCATTAACTCCTATTCAAAATGAAGAAGGTTATTTCTTTTCTATATGGGCTGCTGGTGACATATATAGGCAGCACTTCAATGTGATAACTGAGAAGATGAGGTTCTCTAGCTGAACTGGCATCTATCTACCTTAGATTGCATTGTGAGAACAGCTCCCCATCCACTGAATTTAGTAAAAAGTCAAGCCACTGATCGAGTGTCCAGGAATTTCACAGGGCTGAGGTGGCAACCCTAGTGCCTTGACATGTTGCCAACAGTTCACCTTTCTGGAACGATTGTCCCTACAAGTGCACCCTTCCAAAACTTCCAATCAAACTCATTCTTTGTATACAAATGGTTTGCAGTTGAAACTTAATAAGAAATGCTAACATATGGAAAAGCTTGGACTCTGTAACATTTTGTGTTAACATTATTTTCCTGGACAGACAACCAAATCCAGGACAATCCAGGAAAATCAAGTGGCAACCCTAGAATCCGCGCTGAATCACTGGCTCATGGTTGGATATTCTATCTTCAGACAGGCCTTCAGATGTACAGATGAGGACAGACGGAATTAACTGACCGAATGCTGCTGCACCTCCACATCTGTCAGAACATTTCCTCGCTCTCTGTGTATTACAGTAGACGTCGTATATTTCTCACATCTGCCCACTGCCTTATTGTTGGGCTTATTAACTGTACAGGGGCTTAATTAGGCAGAACTTCAAAGTGGTGGCTCAGGCCGGCGCTGAGGTGCGGCAGAGATTTATATCGCACAATGGCTCCCCGGGTCCTGAAAAATTAATGAACGCTTAGCCAAGATCCAACTTACGGCCGACGCTCTGCATTATAAATCAATTTGAGTTTAAGCCTTGCTATGTGCTACCAGCTGGATCTGGCGGCGTGGACATTTTGAGGGCACATGGTGGACGTAGGTGACGGGTCCATTACGTCTTGATTCTGAGGTAATGTGCGGACTGATGGTGCTTTATCCAGCTCAGGCGTATATGACGGAGTGGGCCCCAGTGTACCAAAAGGCCAGTCCATAATGGTCACACTGGCTCCCACACATACTACAACCTATTAGTTTCCAATGAGAGATGTGACAGAGCAGCAGTTCAGAGTACAGCCAGTACGTAATACAGGTCTAGATGCAACAAATGTCACCTTACTCAGAAAGTGCAGACTTTAATGGAATGTGCAAATAATAAAGACTAACTAATGCCTTCCATGTTGTTCTCTTGCCCTCTGCTTTGTACTTTTCCTGTAAACTCTGTAACTGCACAAGTAGTTTTTTTTTTAATTTTCAGGTTGCACTTGGTGAAAGTCCTAAAGTGGAATTCCACTGAAATTTTAAAAGTCCTGCAAAATTTAGTCATAAACAAAGTCATTCTGAGAGGCTTGATGTGAAATGATTAATTGTAGGGAACATATAGACTCAGGCTTCTTTATAATGGTGGTGATAGGATGTGGCATCGTTCAGAAGAAGAATCAAGGAAGGCCATGATTTCTGTTTAAAATGTGCTCTTTTGTTAAAGAAACAGCAGAAAAAGCCACTGCCTATAGCTAAACTCTCAGGGGAGGTCACCAAAAGCCATGGGCTGATCCCCCCCTTACACAGAATGACCCATGCCACAAACACCCCATGTCACACAAAACACACAAACAAACAACAACAACTGTCTGTTTTAGGGGCGGGGCTCACAGCATAGCTTTGCATACCATGCCCCAAAGCCCCTTTCTAAGCAACAGAGTAAGCAGCAGGTGCCAGAGTATCTACAATCAAATGTAGCTATTTTATTTCCAATTCAAAACTACAAGTGGACCTTCATGTGTCTTCTGACTTTTTTATATGTAGTGTTGTTATGGTAAAATAGTGGTGAATTGACCATTGATAAATGTTTTCTTTGGGTTCTACTTCACCTTAAAACACACTGCATGTACCTCACCACCATTAATGGACATAAAAAAATGCATTTACAGGCCAAGAGCTTCTCTCAAAACCAGTGTAGAAAGTCTGACTCCTAGCAACGTATTCACAACCATTTCATGTAATAACTCTCTGTTCTACTGGTATTTATAGGCATTAAACTCTTGTGACGTCTGGTTCCTGTCACCACTGTGAACAATTCTCAATAAGTTTTAGTAAGTTTCTCCAGAATGGTATATGTCACATCAGGCCACTCTGAATGACTTTGTTTACATCTCAGCCATTTAATTAAACAAAAAGCATTCAGCTTGTAAAAGCTTTAATGTGGTCTTACACATTGGTAAGCAGGGATATCCACTGATTCCAGATATATCGATCATGCTTTTCCATAAATATGTTGAAAAGTTCTTTCAATCTGCTTTAAACTGCATCCAGGTATTTCTTAAGTTTGGGCAGCCTTGTCAATGTGGTTTAGGACACAGTGTGACTTACTGTGAGCTATAAAACTGAACAAAACTTCGCCATGTAGCTGAACACAGCAGTCAGCCACTTTAGACACCACATTCTAACCCCCAGAGGAAAATCTTATTGCTCAAATGTTGATCTTTAAGTGCTCAAGAGACATAATGGTGATTATCCTAAAAGGTCTTAGGAGAAAAAACCTTAGACAAAAAGAAAACATGAGATACTTTTGGCCAAGATAAAAAAATATCATATTCACAGCATCAATACTGAGAAAGCTGTTAGTATTGGATGAGAAATATTTGAGTTTGTATTGATATTCAGGCAAGACGTGAGAA